TGGTTAAACGAGAAAAGATTTCACCCAATGAGCAGTTTGAAACAGGCAGAAAAATTTACCTATCTCCGGGTACCGTTTAGGTGCAGACGTAGAAGTCGGCACACTAAGATCAAGTGGACGAGTAATGCGAGAACTAAACAGTTTCGTAGCGATGAAGAAAGAACTGAGCACGATGGTATCAGCCTTGAAGTCTCATGTATCTGTAAATCCTAAATGATTGGCGAAGACTGGAACCATTAGAAAAGCCTTCTGAAGTTGCCGCCCACACAATTCAAAGGGAATAACGTTAATTAATGAAGGGTTCTTCATTTAATGCCTATCTAAGTTTCGTCGATAAAGGATTTTGTGCATAGCGTGGAGCTGCACAGTTATATAAGCAACGCTTTCTGACGTCTCTGCGCGAACGGGTTTAGTTGTTACTCTTAGTTTGCGTTCTTTTCGATAATTTTACTTTTAGAGCCTTGTTTCCATGTGGCGATCATCTTGTTTGCATAATTGACGATCGTGAGGACGTGTGGAATTTTGCATCGAACGTTGTCCATGTCAAACCATACAGATTTTTTAAGCATACGGGTGATATTAACGCTCCTCCAGGATTTACAAAAGCTGATCGTAACGAAGAGAATAATGTTGAGGCGAATGACAAAAGTACTCCAGAGAGAAACAAAAAGGAAGTCGGCGATGTTTCAGAGCCTGCTTTGCGACCTAGTTCCAGCGCTGTCATCTCTAAGTCTCCAACAAAGGAAGCCACGTCTGCCGAAATCGTCGATGACGACAACTATTTGAAAAGTCTTGAGAAAATTTTGTTTAGAATTCATGATGCCTTCTATCAAATGTATGATCAAATGCCTGACGAAGAAAGGCCTCCATGCTTGCATTCTATCATTCCGTACGTGAAATTGAAGGTGCTTAAGGGCGTGAACCTTGTTTTCAGCGGTATTATTCCAACGCATGTTAAACCAGAGACGACGCAGATATTCAAGGTCGCTGAGGCGTTTGGGGCTCAGATACAAAATCAGATAGTGAGCACCTCTGACAGCAAGGACCCTTCCAAGTGGACTACTCATCTGGTTGCTTGCAAATGGGGCACTGAGAAGGTGCTGCAAGCCTACGATCTTGACCACGTTCATATCGTTATTCCAGAATGGTTGTGGTCATGCGCTGAGCGCTGGACTAAAGTCGACCCTGAACCTTTTTGTCTCACCCCGCCAAACAGCCGCTCGAAACTCGTAAAACGATCGCCTGTTGACCGCAGTTCCTGTATCGTCGAAAAGCTAGCGAACGATAAAATGGACTTTTCTCCATCGGCCGTTCATAACGGTCGTCGCAGAGTTGCAGATGCTGACCTGGAGGAAACTGAAGACGTGACTTATTCCGCAGAGAATTCTTCACTCGCCTATAACTTAGAACCGGCGAGGAAACGCCCAGCAATCAACTCTTCTGTCCAGGCTGAAGTACCTCGAAGCTCAAATCGGTTTGAGCAAGTTTCTGTGAATGACTCCGATATTTCGTCGAGTTCAGCTGAAAGCGAGGACGATATTTCTACAGACGAAATTGTGGATGACCTCGAACGGTGCATAGCAGAATGATAAACGATTGAAATTTCTGCGATGTCCATTTGAATTTTGATTCTGAATTGTCCATTTTAGTATTTTACGATTTACTGATTTTATGTTATGTTTGGAAAATGTTGTCCTGTCTCGTTTATTCTGCTGTACTGAGCAGTTTAGGTTTTCTAAGAGAAAAACTGAAATTAGCTTGTGCGTGTGACGTTATTTTGCGATTGGCGATTAACAACCAGCAGTAATTGAAACATTAGAAGTAATTCAGCAGAGACTGAAAAGTTAACAAAAATAAAGGTCAACTTCGGGAGTTCGTGAGTTTATCGCTTCATTTTACGGGCAAATGCCAAAACTTTCGTATAAATGGCAGTGCTCATGTTCCACGCATTCTGTCTTAAGTGCTTGATTTGTGTGCTTGTACGAAAATACGGTTTTATAATTCACAAAGTGAAAATGGTAAAATGTCAGCGAGGTTTTGCACGAAAATTTTTACCGCTTCCGATTTGTTCGTCTCGACCATCTAGATTCTATGCTCTAGTTTTCGAAATCTAAATTTCAATTGCAAATATTTGGCGCGGTAAGTACTTCTACGAAAATTGATAATCGTAGTGTTGCTTTCAGACCGAATGTCTTCTGTTTTTGTGTAGGGATTTAAAAATTAACTGCGAAAATTACTCATGCCTTTAACAGAAATCAGTCAGTTGTGCGGTGAAGGTTTCTGTATTAGTTTAAAATATGTGAGTTCACTGATTTGCGATGTTTAGCGTGAAGGTGCGATTATCTCAGATTTTACCTTGGATAATACTCTTGGCAAATGCCAGTGGCAGGTGTAAATGGAGAAACCTGGAAGAACGTCAAAATTTGTCCATTTCTGAATTAGAGCCAAGATATGTTATCGTACTGACATCAACTCACTCAGGCTTTAAGAGACAGATAATGTTAATTAATCAGTATTTCGTAATGTTAGCGCAAGTTTACGTGGCATACAATTTGATCGGTACGAACAGAAATCTAAGACACCGGGCATTTTACGTAGCAACCACATGCCGCTGGCACTGCGGTGAAACATAATGGCCATTATCAAACATTACGACCAGTGGTTGATCACGCATCAGACTGGAGATGTGGCTGTCAACCGGCGCAGAGCAGCAAGGAATAGCTTAATCGTTGGTTCCCAAATTCTCTCAGTTACTAAAGAACCGAAAATATTTCATGAATAACAAAGATGATAAGACCAACCGAAGGAAGACAGTATCATTCGCTTTATCGTGTAGGGCCTTGTACATTAATGGTGAGCTCCAACATTGGTAATTTAACTGAACATCGTTGGTTGTCTCTGCCCTATTGGTCAGTGTTGCGACTGACCCTGGGCGAATTTTGCATTGTTCGACGTTCTGCTTCTCTGTGTTTTGTGCATGGCTACGGTTGTTTCGTACTGTGCAAATTCCTGTCTGCATTTAATTGAATGGCTATCATACAGCAGCTGATCGGTCCTTCAAGAGTTTTTGACAGTTGGTAGTTGCTGAAGGCAAGCAAACAAGTGTTTTGAGTAAAACGGTAAGGTCACCGCTCACAAAAGCACTTTTTCGCAGTGAAGGCACTTATGTATGCCATCATTTGCAAGTACATAATAATGTTGCAGACTGAACAAATGACGATGAAATTAGTTTGGCGTATCGTCGATCACTCTGATGTCTGTCAATTACGCCAATAAACTTTAACAGAAATCTGAATATAATATATTTTACTGGCAAGAAATTGTCAAAAGAGCAAGAACGATCAAATATATAGGCGTTCAACAATAGGGACAACTTTCAAGCAATTTGTGAACTTGTTTACAATACGTTTAACACTGATGCGACACCAAAACCGTTTTGACCACGTACGACGCGTGGCATGAAAGAATATTAGAAAGTAATACAATGCATGACCTTTCAAGAAATAACCCAATCCATGTTCTTGCATAGAGGAAAATAGGATTCGAGTGGCTCCACGCTTCTAAGCCCAACGAGGGTAAAGTGCGGATGGCTAAGCTAACTTATGCAGAACAGATTTACTACGCTTGACAATTTGCATTAGCACTGGCGAGACGGTTTCGTGTACAAATGACATATAATCGGCGTTGCGAATTAAGGGCATAATTTCTACGTTAAATAAGAATAATGCTAGAGTCTAGAAGCAAGTGGAAAAGGCTGCCTGAGAAAAGATATTTGCTAGCATTTGTAGATAGCATGTTGCGTGCAATACTTTATTTAAATGGTAGAAAAATCAGTTTGCGTCACATCCGAAAAGAGGTGCCGAATCGTTGCCTTTCAAAGACGACTAACAGCGTTCGTTTCCAGATTAATATTAGCAGCGAGGAAGCAGGTTTCTTGAAGTGATAATACTGGCTTTTAGCTATGCTGCGTTGGTCAATATTTTCTTTCATTTGCAAAAAATATTCGTTGTCAAAATAGAATTGCATTTTTTGAATATACGCTAACTTTCCTACACTAACTGTTTCACACATTTTCTCCAAGTTTAAAAAAGAACTTCTTAATTTTATCTTTATTTTCAATCCAGTCAGCACAACAGTATAGATATTTAGTAAGCTTGGGTTACAACGTTAACATTTTGATGATGCCGCTCCTGTGCACACCGAAACATGACAAATAGAAGATTTTTAATCAATCATATCAAGTATTGCTTTGGATTATGAATCGGAAAGCGAAAACCATTAAATAGGGTGACCAGTTTTAATCGTCTCATAGAATAGCTCTGAGGCATTTCTTTTTATGGAGACTGATTTAAAGGCATCCCATTGCTCACGAGTTTTTTAGAGAGAGAACGAATATGTGGCACAATGAATCTGTTTTGTAGAATTTTGGTCGTTCATCCATAAATGTGCTTCATTTGCTCTGCTCTGCAGAGAATAAACAGCATGTTAGTAACGGCGATAGTCGGCATCGCATTAAATTATGCTTAGGATCGTTTTACCATTTGCATTCTTTTTCGCAGATAAAAAATGCTTAAGTGAATCAATGCAGCTATTAAGAAAAGGTAGTGATATTGCAGAACTTAGTAAATCACTATTACCCTTAGCTGCAGTTGCGGATTTTGTTTTGCACACTAGCAAAATTTGAGAATTATGATTAACTACTCAAGCAACAGTGAAATTGTCACAGGTATTCGTGAGGATTAGTTCTGCTGTGCTGTCTTTTTCCTATATTTTGTAAAAGGCGATAATGATTTAGTGCATCGGAAGCGCACATCTTATTGGCATCACATTGATGAGTAAACACTCTTGGTGCGGAGTAAACTCCTTGCGGAGTACTGCTGCTTTCCTGAATATCAATGTTAGTGAAGCAAGTCTGTAGCGTCGTAGAGAATAGCGACTTAGGCGTAACTGCATAATTTTGGAATGTGCAGTTTTCGATGGTTCGCTGTTTGCGTATAATCGATTTATACATGTTTATGCACTGAGCATAACACTTAAACTTGTTTTTAAAGGCTGATAGCTATCGCATTTAGCTACGCTCCTGGTGACGAGTCAGTTGATGATGGAAACCATCAGCATTGTTTAGCGGTTATTTCACAATACACACACTTTTCAGTTTTAAAATGCTGCTCGATTTTCTTCCATAATCTTTTATTAACTGGACGTTTTAGGCACGAGAAGCGGGTGTTAGATTTGAGGCGCGTTCATAGCCTCGCATGACCGTTCCTCTCGCTCATTCTGTCTGTGCTCCTCGCCAAGTCAGGAAAATCGCACCCGCTTCTCTGCTGCTTACCGAAGCAACATGGTATAAATTCCTTGCTCAATAGAATTAGCAGTTACAGCCAAATTTATTTTTCGGAATTCCGGTCTGTCACTTTCTGAGTTCGAAGCGGACCTCTTACTACTGCGTCACCTCGCCTCAGAACGATGTGCCTGAGAGCTCGAAATGATTTTCTAGTCGATGTCGTTCACAAACGAATTAGGCGGAGGCATGTACGGCAGTACGTGCCATCTGTAACAGGT